AGTAAAGACAAACGAGGGTCTTCCTGGGACTAAAAGACAAATAGCAACAACTAATTGACATCGGGTGTCCCATCCAAGTAGACACCTTTTCAGAGGGAGGCAGGGAAGCGAGGGAGGGGGCGGTAGGGGAGGCGGCAATGAAGGAGTTGGCGAGGGCGGAGGCGGTGATAGAAAGGGCGGCGGGGAAGGGGGCGACGGGGGATGCGTATGCGTGATACGTAAGCCAGGGGGGGGGGATGGCTCGGGGGCGCGCGGGGCGAGATATACGTAATCCGTAAACGTGACACGTGGTACGTAGGCACCCGCCGCGCGGGCCATTGCACCGTCCCCCGGGCAAAGCTTTGCGGTGAAAAGGACGTATGCGTAATGCGGATACGTGATACGTCGAAGACGCCCCGCCCCCCCGCGGGCCGCGGCGCACCGGCGGAGATCCATAATCCGTATACGTGACACGTGGTACGTATGAGGCAACCACAGGGCCATCGCACCGTCACGCACGCGATGAATACGTGTATATCGATGTATGTATTGACGTTTTTTATTTATTTTTGAAGGGGGAGGCGTTCGACGGGCTGCGTAATGCGACGCATTTGGACTGGCAAGTGACGCACACGCACCGAGTTTACGTATTCCCGAGAGGGCGTAATGTGATGCGTATGCACATGGGCCTCCTTGCATATGCGTAGCAGTACAGAGCACGATTGCTGCTCCGAGGGGGCCCTGTGCGATCCGACGGGTAGGGGGTCTGTGCCCGGGCGGTGTCCGGTGTGGAGTCTCTCTCTGATCCCGCCTGTGATGTTGGGTGCGAGGTCGTGGAAGCTTTGATCCCAAGGGGGGGAGCCGATCCCACTCGTAACCAACTCTCAGGGGCAGTAGGTGGGCGAGCCTCGAGCGCGCTCATCTCGATCGTCAAGGCGTCGCTACGCGCGGACCGCGGTCTTCCGCGGGGGGAGCTTCGTCGACGGGGGCGGGACCGCGGCGCAGTCAGTGCCGTGGCGATGCAACTCCGGCTGTTGCGGCGGGCGGCTTGCTGCTCGCGGCGATGGCGAAAAACTCGTCTCGTGGCACACCAAGAGCTTATGCTCTGGCGAGATATGTGAGGCGCATGCGCCCAGGTAGTTGCGGGCGGCGGGGGTGTGGAGGCTTGAGGCCACATGAACGTGAAACGAAACGTGAAAACAAAAATTTCCGCCAGGGCGTCCTCCCCCACCGCTCCGCGCGCGCCTGGTGCGGAAGGGGAAGACACGGGGATCCGCCGGCGCCGCGGGTCTCCGCTGCACACAGGTGGAGCGCTACTTGCCGCCGCGCGCGTGTGATTCCGCATGGAAGCCCACCCATGCCTTCGCCGCCAGCAGGAGCGCGCACGGTGAGCTCAGCGCGCCGCGTCAAAGCGAGGCCGGCCGGCTAACCGGCTAAGAGAGGCCGACCACCCGAGGGCTGCCCGACGAGAGGTCGACATCGATCTTGTAGTAGGCGGGCTTGACGGGAAGGCCGGGGATGAAGGAGATTGTGCCGAGCGAGACGACGATGAAGCCGGCCCCGGCCGAGACGTAGGCATCCTGTTCAGCACAGACCGCCGTGAACAGAGCCGTCGCACGCTGCGAGCGCCGCGTGCAGACAGATGCGCCTTCACAGTGACCGTGAAGCCGCTGGGCGCGCCGAGCGCCTTGGGGTCGTCGGAGAGCGAGTACTGCGTCTTGGACATGCATATCGGCAGCGAGCGCAACGCCGGGTCCGCCTCATACCTCGCGATGCGCGCCTCCGCCGCCGGGCTGTACTTTGCGCCCGCGCCGCCGTAGACCTCGCGCACGATCGTCTCGATCTTGTCCTTAACGCCCTGCGCCTTTGCGTCGTAGATGTGCCGGAACTCTCGAGGCGACGTGGCGGCGCACGCGGCCATCACGGCGCGGCCAAGCTCGACGGCGCCGGCGCCACCCTTCGCAAAATGGTCGGCGGCGACGGCGTCGAACGCACCGCCCTGTAGCGCGCGCGGGGAGCCAAGGCAAGGTGAAGAACACGCGGGCGGGTGGACTCGCGGGCGGCGGCGGCGGCGCCTCGCGCGCCACGCGCGCCACCGTCTCCACCTCAGCGTCGGTGTCGGTGTGGAAGCGGTTGATGGCGACGACAACCTAGGGGAGACCCGTGCGTGCGGAGAGGGGAAGGAGGCAGGGGTAGTGGTGAAGCCCAGCTTGCGCCAGCGTTGGAGCCTAGGGCTCGCGCCTAGGGGCGGGTGCAAAGCTCGAGACACTTCCGAGGCATGGTGGTGGCGAGGGAGGAAGAGTAGGAGAAGGTGGTGTGGCAAGGGAGGAGATGAAGGAAGAGGAAGAGGAGATGGAGGTGGAAGAGGAGGGAGGAGGAGGAGGAGATGGAAGAGGAGATGGAAGAGGTGTCGCGCTCGCCGTCCGTGGGAGTCGGCCCTGACTAGTCGACCTCTGTCTGCCTGCCCGTGCTCGGCTGCCCGTGTGTGCGATCTGGGTCGGGGTTGTGCTGTTGTGTGAAGCAGCGGCTCCTGACTCGCTGTATATAGTAGCGATGAGCTCACTAGCTAGAGCTCACACTAGATGTGCCGTCCTCGCATTCGCCTTCCTGGGGGCCCAGCGCTGACTTCTGGCTGTCGTTGCTGTCTCTCCCTTCTCGACTGTCTGTGCTCGTGCGTCTTGGGTCCCGGGGTTGTGTTTTTGTGTGAAGCAGCGGCAACCTGCACGCCGTGCTTGCGCACGTTCTGAATGTGCGCGAGCATGTTGGCGGCGCCCTTGGCGACTAGCCCGAGCCGCTCCTACGCCGCCGCAAGGAGGGTTGGCCGCTCGGTGACCACCGCCCGTGGCGGGGCTTGGGCTTGGGCGTGTGGGTGCGGAGTGCGG